TTAGCAACCAAGGGAGGGTTTAAAGTTCTCCTTTGACTTGCAGTATGATTTCCTCGACCTCATCCCATAATTCTTAGATTGTGGAAAAGGTTCAATTTCGGGATAGATGTCGATTTGTTATAAAGAGAGTTTCCAGCTAAAAGAGAGACTTTTAAGTACTACCTCCCCATATAGTATACATAAATTTGACTAACCAATCATTTTCGTACAGTAAATTCGGTGCATGGTGTACCGTGAAGCTAAATTGAGGTCAAAACAGACTAAACCGATCTAGAGATCTCTATGCACTCCTAATATGACAATAAAATCATATCCTTGTTATTTCTGCCAAATTTTATATGAAGAAATCATTGATCTCCATGGGAAGACATTTCATAGGACAAATGTCATCAAACAAACAAGTGATTAGCTAATAACTAGCAACATTCACTTGAAATCGCCAACCGTTAGAAAAACCAATGGGTTAATGAAAACTTGACAATTACTATAAAGTAACAACATATGAGGCTCAGGTTTCTAATCAAGAGGGTATATATATATATCTGGATAAATAGATCGCCCGGTATAATCACACTTGAGCTCTTTCGATAGATAGAAGTGATCATCCACTGACATGGCCATGTTTGAGGAATAAAATCAAAATGGGCTTTCGAAGAGATCGCTGAGTGATTTATAGCTCCGGACCTCCGGTCTTGAAATTTTAATGAATTTGAAAGAAATTGTATTGAGAAGTAATCTACATGAAAATTGTGATAAGTCTATTTGTGTCAAGGTCCTGGATATGTAACCGCTCAAGATATCATCTTACCACCTTATGTCAAAATGTTTGATAATACACAACATATAGCTAGCTTGATGGGACCAGCATCTTAACTCATTAAAATTTATTTTCAATTTAAGTAAAATGTAGCTATATCCTAGTGTCATAAAATGCTTTTATAAACAACTTTATCATCATTGTATCAAAATTCACAAATAAAGAACCTAACAAAATGGGTTGTTAATTTCATGATTCAGGTAATATGTTAGAACCTATCCTAGTCTCTAGGATAACAACTTTTAAACTAATATATGAACCTTGTTCACTTCTTAATTTATAGTCAATTGATTTTGAGTTAGATGCTTTGACGAAATTATGAAGCTAATAGATAGAAAACAAGACTTGCCAACAAAAAGTTATGGGAAATTTCCAATTCCTAAGAGGAAAACAGGGAACCAAAAAGAATCATAATTAACTAACTGCACAAAAGATTTGCAAAATCACATCAAATATGATATCTTCATCCAACCGTATTAGTGAGAGACTACATCAAACCAAAAGGAATGTGTAACCATACAACATGGTAATCTCTTACCCGAGCAAATTATACATAACATAGATCTGCAAATACACGAGTATGACTAACCCATTCTGATTCTCTTTACAGCCAGCAGAGAGATAGAGAGAGAGAGAGATGCAATAGGCCACCGGCCGCCGCGTGCCGGTGGTGGTAGTGGTGTCAAGACGTGAAGTAGAAGACAGGGTGGAGAATCAGGCCGAGGAGTTTGAAACAAGCGCAAGAGACTGACAGAAACACCAGTCCGTACACAATTCGGAGAGCCATGAATACAGCAGACTGAAATCGACTGATTAAGATCAAAACCTGGTTATGAGAGTCGAGAGAGAGAGAGAAGGGTGGAGTTTGAACTGTGAATAGGAAAAGGGCTAATGCTTCTTTTGACTTTCACAATTTTGTAGGAGAAGTCGAGTGGTAGTTTTTATATAATAAAACAAAATAAAATAAAATTTTTACACTGAACATTAAGGGTCCATAGCTCAGTGGTAGAGCATTTAACTGCAGATCAAGAGGTCACCGGTTCGAACCCGGTTGGGCCCTTTTTGGTTATAATTTTCTTTCTCTTTTTTTTTTTTTGAATTTTCTTCTCATATATTTATTTTTTTCCTTGTATAATATATAAACCCTCAATTTACGGACGACAGTTAATTTGGGTGGTTAAGATTTTTCAACTTCACCCAGAGTTTGAAATTTGTTAAATATAAAAATGTTACAATGAAAGCAATAATAAAATTTTGTACCATGTTTAAGACACTACTTTTACTAATTTCGAAAATTTTGTAAGATGCTACTTTTATTGGGTTTCTAAAGTTGCTCTTAGAGTTTCGATGGCATGCTACATTTCGTCCCGCACCTTATTATTTCGAAAGTGCATCACTAATTTATATAATCTTTTTCATAGTTATATTTATACTACTAATAAAAGTATATTAAAATAAAAAAATTTAATTCACTATTTTACCATCATAAAGAATTAAAAAGATTATTTTATCCTTTCACGCTTAATATTTAAATTATCATCATATTCTTATGCATTTTCAATCTCCAAATTACATATAAGATCACTTTTAATTATCCATTTTCTAATTATAAATATAATTTTTTATGAAATTTTTTGCTTGGCTATATTACTTTTAACAAATTTATGCATCATTATATGTTTTAATAAAATATTCAAAAAAAATCTTTAAAAACTCCATCAATCTATCATTATTCATCTCATTTATAAAGATAACATTATGACTACATGTGTATATTTTATTTTTCATCAAAATTTTTAACCTTTTAATTTTTAAGATAAAAAATAAATGTATATATAGTTTTACATGATTCTTCAGTCACAAATTTTTTTTCAAACTGTGTTAAGATTTTAAGTGAAAATAGATTGCAGTATATTTTTAAGGAAAACTTAAATTTGTTTTTAAAATTTTAATATGCTTTATTATATATTATAGTGTAATATATTAAATATTATCTCAATTGTCCTAACTAATTCTAAATATAGTAATGTTCCAATATGATTAGTATATTGATAATTATTTGTATTTTATTCGGTGACTATGTTATTGTCTATATTTGAAGGCACAGAATAATAAAAAATGGTAAATAATAAACATATTTGTATTCATATCTAAAATTAAATCACAAATATATTGGAGAAATAAATGAATTTAAGCATCAATTGAAATGGCACGTGAGGGGTGGTGGGTAACAGTGGTGATGGTAGGAGACGGTGATGGTGGCGGTGGCAGTGGCGATGGTGGTGGTGGTGGGGGGGGGTGGCGATGGCGGTATCGGTTGTAGTGGCAGGTGGTAGAGGTGGTGGGGGCGATGAGGGTGGTGGTAGAAGTAGTGACGGTGGTGGTGGTGGCGGCGATGGTGGTAATGGCGGCGATGGCAGTGATGGGGGGTGGCAGTGGTGATGGGGGCGGCAGTGGCAGCGGTGGTGGTGGGGGGGGTAACGATGGTGGTGGTGACGGTGGTGGTAGAGGTAGTGGGGATGGTGGTGGCAATGGTAGAGATAATGGTGGTGGTGGCAACTGTGGTTATAGAGGTAGTGGGAGTGGTGGCGATTGTGGTTATAGAGGTAGTGGGGATGGTGGCGACCGTGGTTGTAGAGGTAGTGGGGGCGATGGTGGCGATGGTAGAGATAATGGTGGTGGTGGTGGTGGCGACGACAACGATGATGGTGGGGGCGGTGGTGATGGTGGTGGCGACGATGGTGGCGATGGAGGTGGTGGTGGTAGAGATGGTGATGGTGGTGGCGACGGTGGTGGTGGCGGTGGTGGTAGAAGTAGTGGTGGAGCGGTTTCAAACACTATTTTTTTTAAAAATACTTATGAAAAATAATTCTTATAAATACTTTTAAAAAGTCACTCCAAAACACCCTTAGGGTCCTATTTTTTCTATTAAATTTAAAGTGTTAATATTAACCGTTAGATTAACTTTAAAGTAAAATTTAAAGCGATTCGAACCGCGAAAAAAAAAATCATTTTGTTTATCTTTTAAAATTTGAATCGTAAACTATTTTATTATATAGATATATAAACATAATCTTAATCAAATTAATTTTAAAAATTTTAATTTTCAAACATCACTAAAATATCACTTTCAATTACAAAATTATTGAAACAAAATTAGATTTTTAATTATTTCTTTTCTTTTTTATCCTTTTTCTTGAAGTTAAAACAACAAATCTTTGGAAGATATAAAGTTTTCAAAAATTCTATAATAGAGTATAAGCGATATAAAAATAAGTTTGATAAATCTGAGATGATATTTAATTTAAGTACACATATACTAAATATTTATTTATTAATTTTTGTCTAAAAAATTATTTACGTGCAACACACGTAGTGCATTGCTAGTTATTACTAATAAAAGTACTTTAGGATGAAAAACTTTTAAATTTCTACTTTACCTTTATAAAGAATTCCAAAATCCATTCTATCCTTTTATAATTAAATATCTATATTATTATTATATTCTTATATATTTAAATCTCGAAATTATCTATAACGTATCTTTTAATTATATATTCTCTACGGGCCAACTATCCTTATTTATCAGAGAACATGTTCTAAACTCGCTTGACCTACAATAACTAATATCCGAACTCGAGAGAATAATCAACATAAACCTAAACACCAAAAAATAAAAACCCCCTGCCGTTTCCATCACAGTAGTCAAGTATTTGAACAATTGGAACTCCAGTGAACCTTGCAAGAGCTACAGAGATGCCAATTCAGGTCAGCTTGCAAATGGAAGCATAGAAAGAAAATTGTGCTCACGCCTACCACTAGCATGATTGGAACAGAAATCCGAATGCCAAATCATAACAGAAACAAGATATGCCAATACACAGACACATAGATGAACGGGAAATTATTTTCTGCTTTATAAGAAATATGTGTAATGTAATTAACAAGCCATCTAGAATGGATCAATAGTATAATATGTGTATTAAACATTTATTCTAGGAGAAAAAAAGAGATTAAGATGCTGGATCTTCAAAGTCGGGCTGGATTGGGAGTCACGTCTAGCAGACCCAGGTTGTATGGTCGATTGGCCCTGCTCCGTTTAACCATGTCTGATGCACATGTACCCAAGTGAGCCCTTCTACCACACTCACATCCTGAATGCAACAAATGCATATCAACACGGTCAAATGTACTTGTTAGTAGAATCATGCAACACTATAATCTCAAACATTACCTTGGAACTTTTTTCTTTGGGAAGTAACTTACCTTGGAACTTAATAAAGCCGTGGTCATGCAACACTGCCACTCTTCACCTGCATGAATCAGCTAGCGCTTTTAGAGCAAATTCTAGGCACGTAGGAAAATTAATAAACAATATCCGACTGAAAACAGAGTATCCAGTCATTTAAATGAGCACAACAACTCTTCCTTTTTTATTCCCCTTTATTGGTAAAGAGATTTGATCTATGGACAGTTGAACAATATCAGTCAAATACGAGATATCACAAGAATAAAAGGCAGTAGGAAACAAAACTATACAAAAAAGACACATGTGGAACTGGCCTAAATTAGTCACTTGGTAGATGAGATTGCCTCTTTGATAAAACTCTTGCACATGTCACCTTTTATTTTCCTTGTTGGCATACTCACTTTTTACCGAGGTTTATGCAAAATCGATGTATGTCATTTTTCATTGCAATTGTACTTGTATGTCGCTAAAACAAAGTCTGAGTCGAAACATCAAAAGCTTGAAGTTTATGTGTAGGCGAGTGCTCAAGAGCAAGGCAGGTGTACAAATGTATGCCTTGCTCTTCTTCTCTACCCACATCTCTATAACCAAAAGGATTAAATTTTTTAATCTTCCTCTTCTCTCCTTTTTCCTCACTTTTTTTCTTCTTTATAGTAAGAAATTTTTTTCTTCTTTATAGTAAGAAATCGAGTTCTTCACATAATCGTGCCTCAAATCACTAATGATAGGCATTTTTTTTATGACCACATATGTTTAACTGTCACTGCCAAAGATGACTTCAAGTTTCTGGTGACTCCGTCACTAGTAAGTGAAACTATTGGCCCATGTACTCTGTTTTTAACTTTAGAAACATAATTATGATGTCAACAACAAATAATATAAACAAAAGCAGAATAGAATCTTAAAAGAATACACAATATTGTGGTCCATTTAGAAGAAATTTAAACAAACCATGGCATCGACTAGTCTGATAATGCACTGAAGGGAAGACAAAGTAAAAGAGGAAAAGACAGCAGGTAAGAACTAGCAAAGGCAAAGAGCACCTCATGATGCAAAGATGTCTTACCAGATAGTTCCCACTTCTTGAACCGAACTAGCCATGCATCTGAACAAATCTGTTCAGGTAAAACCTGATCAACCCAAACCCGAAATTGTTTTCCTTGTTTGTCTCCATAGCATCTCCTCAATGAATCAATGCACTCATGCAGAGATTGCTCAACACCAGATGGGTGGACAAAAACACCAGAGGGATACTGCAAGAGCAAAAATATTGACCATGGCATCAGCGCTAAATTAGTGGAAATTGGGGGGAGGGGGAACAAAAGTAAACTCACGTTCAAGCCAAGGCTGAAATGGCAAATACTACGACATGTTCCAGAAAAGAAACCATGACATCAAAAAAGTAAATGTTGAATGAACCCAGGGCTGTAACTAGTTTCTAGTAAAATTAAGACTAATATTTCCTAGCCGCTTTTCAAATTCTAAGTTTATGCCATCAAATTCAATTTATTAACTGTGCAACTTCAGATGAACCACTCTCTAAAGAGTGCATGATTCCATCCCAAGATGCATGCAAAGACAAAAAAACAAGACATAAACAATTTAAAATTTTCACCATGTGATACTAAAAGCAATTCTTCATTATTTTAGAATTTCATCAGTTAAAATAGTATTAGGCTTTGTAAGAAGGAAGGAGAAGAAGAAGAGGAGGCAAGAGAGAAAGAGAAGAAGAGAGGAAAGAATAATATGTGTTGGTTAGGTTGTCCTACACTCTCTCATTTATAACTGGGTAATAAATAAAGTAATTACAATATTACCCTACACTAATTCACTTTTTTCTAATATAGAAAATAAGAACTCTAACATCATCAAAACAACATCAATACGATCATTAGTTTGTGCAACAAATGAAGCGGGCATATGCTTAACCTCGACTCATCCAACATGCTTATCTAGGATAAGACTATATATCAGCACAGGATTGGTGTCAAAATTTTACCTGAGATATGATAGCAAATGCCAAATCTCAGCAATAAAATTGAGTAAAAATCAGTAAAATGATGGGCTTTGTAAAGTTACTTAGCCAAGCGAAAATATAATGTAGTTTGATCTCAAAAATATACTCACAATCCACTAAACCATGAAAAATATGAATAGATACACTATATGCTTATTAGACTATAAATTGCAGTTTGAAGGATATCAGACATACAGAAACTGCTTTCAGATTTGCCACAAATAGTTCAGAATTCTCGACTTCTGCACGCCTCCATCTCTCGAAAAACAAGTAATACTTCACTACTTCATAAGCAGGATCGAAGTTCTCCAACTTAGAGTCTGACAAGTCTGTGACATCTCTAGGAGATGTATTTGGACCCAGGCCAAAGTGACCAATGGCTTGTATAATACCCGCCGCACACCTTTCACTCGCATGAATTATTTTTGGGTTATCTTTAGCATTTGCAGCATGCCACTGCAATAATTCTTCCTGCGCATTACTGACCTGCAAGACAAAATTTTATTTAAAAGAAAGCAATCATGAAGACAAACTCCAGAAAGTTTCAAGATTATAAAGAACAAATACGTGATAAAGAATTAGGAGAACCACCAACCATGACACCATATACATCTGGAATGCTAAATAGTTCAGCATCGTTACCAGAGTCACCACAAACAAGAGTGTTATGAGGCAATTTGTCCTCAGTCTTAAACTTTTCAAGGAGATAAGCAAGAGCTTTCCCTTTACCAGCACCTTGTGGCAATATATCTAAATCCATCCCTCCACTGTAAATTATTTTAGCATCCAGCTGTTCAAAACAAAGCAAAAAACTCAAAGTAAGAAGGAATGGGAAATAAGTTTTCACATTATAAAGGCGATATTTAAACTTTTATCTCAGGCAAATAAAAAATAGAAATTAAAATTTTCAAATGTAAATCAATATAGCTGAATGTTGAGACAACAAAACAGCAGTGGAAAAAGTCTATCTTACCCCACGTTTTTCTAAACGCTCAGACAGAGCCTTCATTACTTCCTGTGCCTTGTCTTTCTGAACATAGAAGCTAACCTTGTGTGGTCGTTGCTCTGTTTCTGACTGCATTAGCCCAAAATTGTAAATTCTTTTCACGTTACTTCCAAATGTCAGCCAAAAAAACTTATAACATTAAAGAGATACCGATCAACTACACTGATCTAAAAATCAACAACCAGATGCTACTTGCTACGAGCTATACCTGAAGAGTAAGTTCAGAAAATTTTCTTGTTTCCTCAACAACTATATTCTTGTCCCATTTCTGATTTAAGAATTCAACCCATCCATCATCTGGCACCATTGAATTACCATATGTTATCTCAGTTCCTACAGACATTATGGTTATGTCTGGAGTTAGCATCGGCTTCTCTTTCCTCAACTGTTTGTACAATGTCGGTGATCTTCCAGTTGAGAACACCAGCAGAGAATCATGACGATAATTGGCTTCCCACAAGGCATTAAACCTAAGCAGGGAAAGGTTCTCAGAGTCATGATGATCCACCTGCAAATCATCTTCTCCAATAAGTTCACCAGTATAGTATAATCCAAAGCAAACAATGATAATAATACCCACCATCGTAAGGTCAAGATCTGAAACTATCATGAGACGTGCAGAACTTGCAAGCCGATTCATGATCGTTCTTATATCACCTTAACTCTGCCAAAAATAAGCAACTATTACCAAGGATTCATGTAATTCTGAATAAATTGAGCAATTTTACAATGACAAAAGCATTCTCATGATTATGGTAGTGACTAAATTGATTGAACAACCCTCAAGAATTTGTATGATATTATGCAAGACTAAGAGCAAGAGTATTGAATAAGTATCTACTTATTACTTAAACTTACTCATCGAAAAAATACAGACAAGTGTCCAGTGCATTTGTCGCTTGGAATTACTTTGCACAATGCTCAAAAGAATGGCCAACTGTAGTTATTAAACTTGCATTTTATAATTATTAAACTTTTAAAATAACATGAATTGACATTTGAGCTTTAGCTCAGTGGAACATAACACTCCAAAATGGGAGGTGACAGGGTCATGCCTGGTGGAAGGCGAGTTGTTCTCTCATGCCTCTCTTTAGGCACTCTCTTTTGTCCTTTTGTGCATGTTTCCTCTTGGTCCTCTTTGAGTGCTCCCTCTTAGGCCCTTAGTCTGAAGACTGATTACAATGTTTATAAATCTCTGCTCATATGGTCAATATTTTGAGATGTTATACATTGTTGTACATACAGAGAATTAAAACAAAATCGATTTGAGACAAAATAGCTAAAGTAGACTCTGTCTGCCAAACTGACATTGTTATGCAATATAAACCCTAACTTTGGTTTCCGGTAATTTGTTAAAATATGGGGAAATGTCTATTTAGAGAAACAAAAAGAGCCCAAATTGTTGTATAACTTGCTACCTCTAACAAATTATTACTAGAAAAGATAATCATACTACCAAACTAAACAATAGAATACAAACAGATCAAAACCTACCAAAGGGAAACTAATAGCTCAATTCCAAACATCAAACAAGACGTATAAATAAGATAAAGACAATACTTAACCGATAATTAGGCACTTTTTATCTGGATGGTTAGGTACACAAAGAACCCCAGAATCTCAATTTCTCATTAAATTCACTAAGGATGCACCAAATTCATATGGCCACAAAAACCCACCAAGGGATGCAGAAGTCTTGCATCAATCGAATTGAATTTTCACCAAAGGTTTCAGGAAAACATACAAATCATATAAATAGAACGGAAAAAATCAACCCTCCGTAGATGAATGAGAGAGAGAGAGAGAGAGAGAGAGTTACAATAGTTGGTGTGTGCGCGTGTGTTGTGTAGAGGGAGAGAGACAGTAGAATTACCAAATATTACAGAAGTAAGCAGCTTCAATATTGTTGCTCAAAGGAGGAGAAACGAAAACCGAAAATACCCAACTGTGAAAGTGATGTGTATGTGTGTGTGTGAGAGAGACAGAGAGTTCAGTTATGCTTTGTGGCCTTCAAATTGGTTGGGTTGGGTGGAAGGAAGATAATGGGACCGAGTATTGGATCCAAATTCTTTGGCGCTTCTTTTGTGTTGTGCAAGCAAAGGCCACAAGGATGTTTCTGTGTGTGTACCTTATATTTGGTAAAATGGCATATTCCAGAGGAAGAATGCAAGATGACTTTTAAGATTTTTTTTTTTTTTTTAAAATTTATATATATATAAGAGTAATGTTATATTTACCAAAACTTTCACCAAAAATCAACTGAAAACATCACATTTGTGTCGACATTGATCAAAACTTGAGGACTCGCAGTTATGGGTGTCAAACGTGTCAAATTAAACAGTTACATATCAGGTTAAACGGTTGACGGGTAAATAAAATGTAAACCCACACACGACCCGTTTAATAAACGAGTGAAAAACTTCAACACGAACACGAACCATTCGTATTCTTGTTGAACCGTTTAAGTTCAAATGATTGCATGTTAGATCTAGAAAGGAGTGAATACGTTAATTAAAATTTAAGTTTAAATGACTACCAATTTTAACTTGTATCTACCACAGTTGCCTTATCACACAATGGTATGAAAGTTAAGTGTATGAACCCCTTTTCAAACATTACAACCTAAAACACTCATAAAGATTAGTGTATTGATTTTATCAAAAAAACACTCGATACTCAATCTCTCAGGAGGATCTTAACCAAGGCAATCGAACTCAATCAACCAAACAATTATGAGTATTCAATCAAGCATTAAAATAAACACTTAGTACCCGTGTGCACATCAAATTGCAAGTGTGTACAATAATAAAAAGATTAAACACAAGCAAACTGTTGACGCGAAAACCCTTCTCTGAAAAAATCGTGGAGAACCTCTCTAGGGTTCACCAAAACCTAATCCATTAATCAAAAATTAATCTACAAATACTCGAATCTTATACCTCAACCAATCCACATGGCTTGATGCAACTTTCCTTCAGTAGATCTCTTTGTCGAAAATCCCTCTTCTACGTTATGGCTAGTTCCCTTGAACTCACTACCGTATGATTTGTTTAGGCCTCAAGCTATCTTCAAAACTTCACACTTTAAACCTCTTGGTATGCACACTCTCCAATGGGCTTGGTTTCATCCAACAAATTTCTTCTTCTACAAGATGTAAGATTGGATAGGAATCACAAGAAGGTAGACTTTAGATCTAAGAATGTGGTTGAAGCTCTCTAGAAAGATTTAGATATTTTCTAACTCATAGAGACTTACCTTAGGTGCTAGAAAGACTTTTCTTATGTATAAATCCAGAATAATGACAATCTTGATCAACAAGAAAATACATTCACGAACAACCACTAGAGCAGCGAGAGGGTGGTGGTCACTAGAATGAAAAATTTATTCCAAGCTGACCTAGGAGAGCAGGACTGCTCAAGTGGCCTTTGAGGGCAACCCAAAATTGTCCTCCATTTAGCATTTGCCCAATTTTTCTTTAAGTTATGAAGACACCGCTCTACCAAAGTCTAGCGAGTATAGAGCAGTCTCTGCTAGATTTTTAAGCCTAAAAAAAGAAAAAATATATATATTCTCTTGAACACTAAAGGGGTATTGCTCAAAAGAGATCCGATGATGAGTTAATTTTGTGTTTTCAAAACACACAAGAGGTTTAGAAAAAAATTTATTTGAAGAACACCTAAGACCCATTCTCAGATCTAATACCAATTTCATTTTAACACTAATCCTCTTAAGTCTAGATTATTAACTTGTCCTAAGCATGAAGGTACATACTGAGTACTTTTGATGTTACTTTGATGCATGATTTTCTCTCTTCAAGTAATGTTTTTAGATCTTTATCAATATAGCATCTTGACCGTAAAATAGATTGAGATTTATAAATGACTCTACGAAATTAACTGTGCGTGCTAGATCTTGCACAATATAAAAACGAGAACAGATCTCTCCCTTGGTGAACTCGAGTGAGTCAGTTGAGTGGTCAACCACGTTGCTTGGAACAGCCTGTGAGATCCGGTGGTAACCTGAAACGGTAATAGAAGACCCTCGCAGATCAAAGGAACGATCTAGTAAGACTGAAGAAAGGTTCCTGGAACAAAGAATAACAAGTTCGAAGGGCGTCGGAGTGTTTTCCGGTGTATCCCCTCCGATGATTAAGTCAGTTTTTGAGAGAGAGGAAGAAGAAAACACTGAGTATAATTTGTAGCAAAAGTTTCACCTCCTTTTCTTGCCTTTAGTGAGGAGTATTTATACCTCAAATACTCATGATTGCTGTCAGCGTGGTCAGTAGGTGATCATTATATACAGGCAACGAGCGCACTGATTCCTATGAGGAATGTCTTCTCTCTTAACTGCTCGGGACCCCGAGCAATCAAGACTGTGTCATCGGCCTGCCGACGGTTCAATGAGCTCCTCTCGGGGAGGATGCAATAAATGCCCCGCTTTAGAGACATTTATTGTCTTTCACTTATGAGTCTTACCGCATTGAATGCAGTCTCATTAAGGGAATGGTGTAATTAAATGCTTGTTTTCCCAAGTCGTGTGTCAGCAAGGTCATGCGGTCTTTCTGTCTCTAATGTAACACAATATGTCACGCGTCCATTTCTCATTGGCTGTGGCCCCTGCCTTCCTGTGCCTTCTGACACCAATTGTGTAAGACTAGGTCATGATAGCTAACCTAGCCTAGCCTAGGATAGTGACCAGTGCATCAATAACCTCTGCTGGGGCAGAGAATTTCATAATTGATGAGAGAGGTACATCTCGGTACTGAGGTAGAGGTACATCTCAGAGCTGAGGAAGAGGTACATCTCGGAGCCGAGGAAGAGGTACATCTCGGAAACCGAGGAATAGGTACATCTTGAATCCGAAAGGGGGAGGCCTAGGGACTGATGTACCATATCAGACCGAGGGTACGTGTCGGTACATAAAAATGTACTGGATGCCACTTGATCCCATGATAAGTACCTCGGGGTAGAGGGGATTTGTGATCCGATGAGTACGTGATCTCGATTACAAGGATCAGTGACACCGAGGACATGTGTATTCATCTTGGAGTATTCCAGAAATGTCCCATCAACTGCCCCCCAGCCTTCGATTTTCTGACACCGAGGACACGCGTTGTAAGGAGACGAAGGGTTTTGCAACAACCCCAACTGCTTCATCATTGCCCCTAGCCGTTTTTCCTGCTTAGGACGTCGTGCGCATTAAATGCGCCGTTTCGTGCTTCTTGCCCAATGATGGGATAGGTGCTATATATAAAGGGGCTTTCTCTCTTCTTTTCTCATTTCATCGTTCTGAACTTTTCTTCACAGAGAGCCCTTGCCTGAATCTTCGCCGGAGACCTTTTTCCTTCCGTTTGTCAACTGCCCAACCTTTTCACTGAAGCTTTAAAGCCAGCAGACCCATCCTTGCTTCTGAACATTCTTGGAAGGAGTCGATTCAATATTTCCAGAAAAAACCTCTTTTTACACTCTGGTGAGTCCCAGTATCTTCCCTTTCTTTGCCCTTCTGTCTTTTTTGGTTTTTCGATCACCGGAGGTGTTTTCTGGTTGCCCTTCAGCGACCAATCCCCGGGAAGCCTTCTTGGGGATCTTCGTGGAAAAGACCCCCTCTATTTTTATCACTTTTTAGAGATGCCTCGTCGTGGCCTTGCCCCCGAGAACCCTCAGGCCAGTACTTCGAGGCCAGGGAAGTATAAAGTAAAAGGTGGTGAACAAATTAATAGAATTAGGGTTAAGTACAGCGTTCCCCCAAATGTAGACATAGAGGATTATGATCCGGCTGTGCACCCTCGTACCCTCGGTACCGAGGACGTAATGTCTTTTTTTATCAAAGCCATCATAGAAGGTGGGATTAGGTTCCATTTGCCCCCTCTGCTTCTCCAGTTCTTCTCTCATTTTCGCCTCTTTCCCGGGCAGTATTGTCTTAATGTCTTTAGGATAATTATGGGGTCCTAGAGCTCAATAGGCGTCTTGGGGTAAACGTCGGGCTGAACGATATCCTTTTTTGTTATTCCCTCTTGAGAGTTACGCCTCAACAACATTTCTACCTCAAAGCCAAGGACCCATCTATGTACCTCGTAACTCACCTTCCTGACTTGGACAAGGGGTACAAGGATGACCTACTCATCTTCAAGGGATCTTGGCAGAGAGGTGTCGGTCCCGAGTATGACGGCTTGTTATGCCCTTTGGAATAAAGAACGACAAGTACGTCGGTTCCTTTGGGTGTATTATTTTATTTCTGAGATTTTCTACGTCCTCATGACCCACTCCTCTCTTTTTGCTTGTGTAGACATCTCCCCTCGGGAAACAGCTCCTCCACCTCGGTCGTTGGTGAACTTTGCGGACCTAGTCACCATTTGGAGATTCACTGGTGACGACGGGCTCGGCCGGGCTGCCCACATCCTCCTAAATTATACTCTCGGATATAAGAAGTTTTCACAGCTTCCCCAGCCTTTCGATCCTTCGTGGTGGTCTGAACTCTTTGATCAGGCAGTGAGACAAGAGGTTAAGGAGAACTTGGAAGAAGACCCTGACCGGGCCTCAAAGGCAGAAGTAGAGGGTGAAGTTGAAGAGCTCGGGGTCAGAGAGGACTTGGTTCCTTCGTACGCCGAGGTGGGGACTTCGGGCAGAGACTCGTGGTCGGACTTCCAAGTCCTACAATCTCTCGATGCCGAAGACGCCCTCCAGGTAGCCATGTCCAGCACGCCCCGCATTGATCTAGGGTTCCTAAGGCAGAGGCAAGCCCTCGTTGCTGGGAGGGGACGAGGATCTACCGGTGGGTCCTCATCTGCAGGGACCAGCGCCACCCCGTCCTCAAAAATCGTCAGCCGGGGTCAAGTGCGTGACCGGGATCCTCAGGTAGAAGAGGAGAGGAAGATCAAACAAAGGCACGACGGCCTTGGCAGGGGATCCAGGGCCCCCTCCGCTCAGCAACAAAGTGGGAGAGGCCGTGGGTTACCTCCTGCTCCTCAGCAACAACAGCGACAGCAGCAACAACAGACTCCTCCTCCCCTTCCGTAGACAGTGGAAGCCGCGGAGTGGAATCCTCGAGCCACTGATCATATGAACCGAGTGATCAGGGTCGACGACTCCGTTTTGCAGGACCCTCATGTTGCCCATGCAGTGAGT